GGTGGGCTTGAGATAAAATTATTTGATATACATTCTTCTATACAATGACTCTCTGAAGTGCTCAATATTTTTTTCTGTTGTTGTTATTATTCATGAAGGACTGCCCATTGGAGACACCAGATGCCCTTGATTGGCAAAGACATAATTCTCTTGGACTCAACCAATCATCTGTTTCTCTAATGGAAAATAAATATTTCTTTTGAAAACTCTTTAGTGGTGATAAAAGAATGGGGTAGACACATGTGTGCTTCTAAGCAACATCAATCAAACTTGCAGCCAAGTTTTGATTACAAGATCTTTTTTTCTGGCAATGAGGTAAAAAGTAGAAAAAGCACAGCTGGATTTTCAGCACTAGGTGGATACCACAAGTTCTGGAAATTGGAAAAAGCACCTTCTAACTTGGAAATAGTGGTGATTTGTCTGGAGAAGTTAGAGGGAAAATAAATGCAAGCCTTACCCTAACCCGAACTCCTCATGCTACCAGTGGCAGAATGAGTAAGAAGTCAGAGAGTGAGGCTGCCCAGCTAGCAACCCTGCCCAAAGGCTGGACTTAGCAAAAACCAAACAGGGTAGTGACTGACTTGCTGGGTGACTGATTTGAATCTCTGTTTTTCTCACTTGGGGCATATTTTCACTAGCATGGGAAGGAGTAGATGGTTTACCAACCTGACTGCATATAAAAAAAACTGAGGCAGGGGATTTGGTTCAATAGGCTTGGCAATCTACGTTTTTAAATAGCACCTATGGGATTCTGATGGGGCTGGTTAAGAAATTTCACTTGGAAACCATTGGTCTAAAGGTTGAGGTATTTTTGCTACAACTTGAAACTTTGAAATCTATTTTTGATTTTGCTGGTGACTTGCTGGCTAGGTGATATTGGGGGGCTCACCTACTTGGTTACCAATGTGCAGTTTCCTGCCCTTAAAATGAGATATTTTAGCTTCCCTTGTTTCACTGGGATTAAGAATGGGTTACCCAAGAGATACTTGGAGTGAGCTTTCAGAAAAGTCTTGGGATCTCTGTCCTGGTAAGGGCCTGTCTTGCATTGGCCTTGTACACAAACCAAAATCTTCAAGATGCAAAGTCATTCACTATATACCTTTAAAGAAACTCTTGGCTCCTGACTTATACATATGATCTAAGGGATTGGGCCACTGTGAATGAACACGGTTTCTTCACTAATGATCTTAAAACTGGTCAGAGACCAGTTTTCAACATCACCAAATTGGAAGAAACACGAAGGCAGCTGTAGCATTGTTGGAGATCTAAATAGGGCCATGGTTGCATCCTGGTCAGTTGGGGCTGCTATGGCAGAATACCATGGAGTAGGTTGTTTAAACAATGAGCATTGATTTCTTACAGGTCTAGAGACTGAAAAGGCCAGGATCAAGGTGCTGGCGGACCCCTTATTTGAGAGCACTTTTTCTAATTCGCAATGTCCATCTTCTTCTGTGCCCTCTCAGGACAGAGTGCAGAAGGCAAACTCTTGTGTCTCTTCTAGGAGAACTAGTCCCATCTTCGTGCCCCCCCCCCCCAAGGACTCTCTTCCTAGTACCATCATCTTTGGTTTGAATTTTACCACATGAGTTGGGGAGTTTGGGGAGGGGCACAAACACTTGGTCCGAAGCTCTGAGTAGCTAAACAGTATCAATAGTGCGATTTGGACTTCAGTCTCCTTCAGCAGCCGCAGAAGGAAATCAAACCTCCTGAAACTGGGAACCATCTAAGACACTCTGATTTCCTGATATGGTCAAAATGGCCAGAATAAGCCCTGGCACTCATGCACCAAGCTCCATATCATGAGTCTCAAGACTGAGACCGTAAGAATCAGCAGGTGGGCATCAAGCAGAATGAAACAGCCCTTGCTACTGGACCTTGAGGAACCAATTAGATGCCTTGGAAGAAGACTGAGGATAGGACCTACAGAGCACCCTTCAAGTGGAGAGAGGTAGAGGCTGTTGGAGAGATGTTGGTACAAGACCATCCTCTTCACAAGGGGGTTAGAAACTATGAGGAAGGAGACTCCATGAAATTGAGGGGGCATAGGAACAACTGTGGAAAGGAAACTGGATCCGTAAGGAAACTGGATCTTCTAAGGAATCAGAACACTCCTCTCAGCTTCTTCTCATTCCCTCCCAGAATTCTGCCCCTTCTCTGGCCCAGAGACCCCGGGGTGAATTGTGGTGCTTCTCTTTCTACCATGTAAGAGTCTCCCTCCCAGTCTTGCCAGTGGTTTCAGCACAGGGCCTGTCACATGGTCTGGGTATCACCCAAAACACCCAAACTCACTCTTCCCCATCCAAACTTGATCTGTCTGCCCTCACCCCTGAGGTTATTAAACTGGCAAGGAAATATATAAAATTGGCATTCTTGAATGGTTCCTCACTCTGGGCAAGGAAAAGAAGGACTATTTCCATGGTTGAAGTGTTCCAACCAATTCAGAGAAAAATATCACATGAAGTAAAAATATTATCATCCTGGCCAAGCAAGGGTTTTCCTTTATAACCATGCTGACATGCAGGGATCTTACAGCCTCGCCTCTCCCCTGGTGATAGCGGGACTGCCTGCTCTCTCCAGCTGGGGGATGTCAGTTCAGCAGAGGTAGGGGAAGGATGTCATCTGGGGGAGGTGGTAGAAAGGAGAGAGTCCCTGGGAGGGTTTAAACTATAGTGTGAAGGAAGAGTTAATATCCAGTTTAAGAGAGGGACAGAGGGAACCTTAATACAGTGAAAAGAATTGCAAACCCCTCACTGAAAATAGATTTGAGAAGACATTTTAAAATGACACCTTCCTTGAGAGAAAGAAGCCATTTTTAAAGAATACATAGTGTTCTGTTTCATTTGTATAGCACTCAGGAGCAAGCAAACCTAATCCATGCTGTGGAAGCATATTGCAGAATACTGTGTGCTGTGGGTGTTGGGGGGGTGCTACAAGGGAGAATTCTGAGGGGCTGAAAATGTTCTGTATCTTGACCTGAGCCATGGTTACCCACCTGTATTCACATGTAAAAATTCCTCAATCTGTATACTAAGATGGGGGTGTTTTTCTATATGTCATTTATCATTCAAATTTTTTAAATGAATCTTCTTTTGCCACATGTATGGATATAGCCTTGGGACAAAGAATATCTGGAAGGTTCAACAGAATGGGGATGCTATTAATAACCACAGCAAACCATAGAGCAAGGTGGGAATGGCCCCATCCTGACACAGCGAGGGACCTTGGGCTTCATCAGCTGACAGACCTAGGTCCACATCCTGCCTTAAGGTTTTACACTGGGTCTTTGAGTAACCTTTGTTTCTCTCAGTCTCAGTTGTCTTCTCTAAAATATGGGTAATAACATGTACCTTTAAGTATTCTTTGGGGGATTCAAATAAGTAATGTTCATAGATCTTTTCCCAAACATGTGAAATACAGATGAAAATGCTATGTGTTATTAACAGTAGATACATGTTGACATGGACTACAGTGCTTAAGAACCCCAGTCATAAATCATATATATAAACTAAAATATTCCTGAAAACAAGGGGAAGGCTTTAAATAACTAGTGATAAATAAAATACTCCACTTATTTCTAAGTAAATACTATTAAAATATCCAACTTTTAAAATATTTCATTATTAAAATTATTTGAAATCAAATGCATTCTGTGATATGTGATCTTGAAAAAGGAACTTAACATCCCTCTATGTGTTTCTGTCTATAAAATGGGTATTAGAAACACCATTTTATCTGAAGTGTTTTGATGATTCAGTTTATGTGATGTGTCTTACAATGGGTCTGATGCTGTTAATTTCGGTTCAATGATCAATTTCACTAATATTTATTTAAAGTCAAATACAAGCCAGATATTATTTTAGTTCCCAAGAATAAAAACAAGAATAAGACACAGCTTCTGCCCTCTGGAAGCCTCTAATTTAATGGGAAAGACTGGCAAGTGGACATTCATAAGCCCATATTGGTGTGAGAGACGGGCACACGGGGGACAGCTGACAGGTATAAGTTACAAGCATGCATGGAGGGTGCGCATATTTAAATTTAAAATGATACTAAAAACTAGCACTTTAAGGCTACCATGTGGTTGAGAAATACAATGGCCACAGGGTTATTTATATTTTAGGATCACAAGCTTATCTATAACCAGTAGTGTTCTGAATTGGGTGGATATGTTAAAACAGGAAAACTAGAAAGCACCTCCAAACTGCAGTGAGTCAGAAGCAAAGTGGAACAGAATTTGTGGTGATGAGAACCCTGATTCTTTGGATTCCCATCTACCTTCGACACTGTCTGGTTGGAGGCCATGTCTGTGCGTGGGAAGGAGAGGAAAGAGGGAGAAGGAGGGGTGCTTCCTCCAGGACTGCATTGAGTTGTATCTGTTTGGGGGAATCTGATGAAAGGTTCAGCCCCTTTCCAAGGAAAACTGGACTTGAAAGCAATCAGAGTAGCTGCAGTAATGTTGGGAGGTTAGTCCTTCCAAAGGCAAGGTGGGGTCTCTTCTAAAACCATATTCATCTTGCTGCACCTTCTCTCCTCTCTGAAGAGATAAATATTTTAGCAACTTCAGCAATTAGGTCACCATTCCAGCACTGATGATCCCCACTTCATGTCTGATTCGTCCCCTGAAAGTGTATGTGATAACCTCTTCTGTATCCCACATTTCCTGGCATTCCCCATGGTACTTAGATGTGAGACTTCTCCACATGAACATCTCAAAGAAACCCCAGCTATAGGCAATCTAGATGCTGCACTAGTTACCCAACTTCCGTGAGAGTAATACATCTAGTGTCACTCTGCAGCACCTACTCCCACTGCTACTCCATGAATGTCACTATTTTTAGCCTTGTGACTTTGAGACTGGACTGGCGTGGTGGGACATTTGGCTGGCCAGGACCATGTGATCCTGCCTGTTTGCTAAAGCTTGGCTCATATTGCTGAGGATCCAGTTTTCCCACGACTCCTTGAGGGATTCTTATAGGCTGTTTTTTTTCATGTCTCTTCAGCAAGTTCCTGAAGATACAGTGCCTGGAAAGTGGACTTTGGGAGCAAGCCAGCTGTACCCCGGTAGTGTGTGAGCCTCCTGCTCCTGTTTTTGAAGGCATGTACGAATGCAGTGATGGCTTCAACCTGGACAGCCAGTGTGTGCTCAACTGTAACCAGGAAAGTGCGAAGGTAATGAAGGCTCCTTGAACTTAGTTTTGAATGAGGCTATAATCTGATCTTGATGACCATGACAAAAATGTTGAGCAGAAATTATCCCAACAAAGATTCTTCTATCCCAGAAAGGACCAACAGACAGGGCCTTACTAATTGAGATTACAAACAAGGGTGTTGATATTATTCACAAGGGGATAGAAGGTACCATGTTTTTGGAACATTCTTTTCCAAGTTCAGAACTTCCTCTGGAATAAGAAGAAAAACCTGATGAGTAAGGCACCAGGGGACATTCCAAACAGTTCTGGGATCCTCATTTGGTAATGCAGGCTCATCTCATGCATGGCCACTGACATAACTTGGCTAGGAATGCTAGCTTATATGTTTTTTAGCAGAACAGAGTCCTGAACAGAAACACAAATTCCTCGGCAAAGCTCAAAGTGTTGTTTGACTATTATCCTCCCTAGGATTTTGGCACAAGAGGTCTCAAATGAAAACCACAGTCTTATCGTGGTTGTGTGACTAAAATCAATTTTGTCTTAGAATCTTTTCAAGCACCACACACATCCATGAGACAGGAAGTCGAGCAGACTTCCTAGGCAAAGATCAATGGCTTGGCTCCTTTGGCACATGTCTTTAAGTTGGTGTCCAGCACTCCAAGGTAAGCACTGCAGAACAGATGTGCAATGAATAGGCCACAAATGAAGACTCCGAGAAATCCAACACATCTGTGTGCATGGACTGGGTATGGAGCCAAGGAGGCAGCCAGAGAAAGGAGAGTTATCTACATTTCTTATTTTCTTGGGTTTGTTAGTTAGTGCTCCTCTCTCTGTTCTAGGTAGGGCATTCTTTGTGACTACTGGGGGTGTGAAGCTGAGGGCTCCACAGCCAGTACATGCACAGAGGAAAGGAAGACAGCAAAGGCAACTGTGATGTCTTCATTCTAGTAGATAGGCCAAAGCACACCTCCAGGGAAATCGTGAATTACAGTCACTGGATGATGCTCGTCTTGAAGGAAATGTGACATTTGCCACAACCAGCATTTATGTGATAGTAGGGATAATCAGTGTCAAAAACCCTACTTGGGAAAATTCCCCAAAGTATCTCAGAATACATGGGCTACAATCAAGAGCTCATCGTATCCTGATATCCAAAGGGGAAAACATTGTTGGTAAATTTCATTAGTGGCAAAATTGTCTATGACTCCTTCACATGATTTGTATTCACTGCTTTCAACATACTTCTTTGTCTCAATAGCATCTCTTAGTCCAGGTTCTAGAAGTTGAAGGACATCATCATTTAATCAGACCCCTTTCCCCGATTCTGAATGAAGTAAACGGTAATAAAGATGCTCTTTGCCTTTGGTGTCCTAGCTCCCCATCCTCTGTACCAAAGAGGGACTGTGGACCCAGGAGTTCAAGTTGTGTGAGAACCTGCAAGGGGAATGCCCACCACCCCCCTCAGAGCTGAATTTCGTGGAGTACAAGTGTGAAAAGGGATACGGGATTGGTAAGGATGGGAAGGGAGCTGGAGGGTGTTCCCAAGTCATCATCTTATTGGGCCTGGCAGGAGCAGACGCCCTGTTCCCCTGAGTAGTGGATGGAAATGCAAACTGACTGTTAACTGCTTCTTGGGTTTGTTAGTTAGTGCTCCTAACTAACAAAATTCACGGCAAATTTGTTCCTTTTACTCTTCCACTTGTGTATAACATTGGTATAGCCACCAAGATGGTCATGTTACCCATTCTGCTGCAGGGCTGAAAGTGGATGGATTCATGGCAGGATTTGTAATTCCAAGAGGAAAGAAGGGTGGCCACATCCACATATGTGCTGGACTCCTATATATGGAGAGTTCGTGAAGGAGATTATTTGTGATTGTAGTTGCCTGGCTTGCTCATCATTCTACCTCAATGGGGATTAGGCTCCAGAGCCTGTGGGCAACTTCTTATTCAAGTACTTGCAATTAAGGGTCTTAGAGGCCAGAGCTCACTTATAGTAATGTTGACCCAACTTTGTCCTGAATGGCCCTAAATATCATAAAAGAGAGTCATGTTTGATATGTAACCTTGTAAGATCACTCCTAAATTCTAAATTGCAAAAAGTAATTCTGTAGGGCAAATGAAAGGGCATTTTAACCTGTGTAATGCCAATAAAGATCATTTGAGTTCATCAGAAACCTCATTAGTTTCTGAAAGGGCTCTTTACCATTTCAAGGCGCTGTTGGCACTGTGGCATCTGTGGTCAGGCCTGAAGTACAGGAAGCTTGACATGCCTCTTGAGTAGAGTCTTCATGAGCAGACTCATCTTCAAAGCTTCTGATTTCTGCATTAAGATATCACATACTCACTCCAAAGTCCTAAGAAGTGATGTGATTTGTTATTACCATAACATTAACTTAAAAACAGAAACATGGAGCTGGAAAGAAACTTAGAGATCATCAGACCTATCTATGAGGAATCAGAAACCCTGAATGTGTTTCCTTGAATAGAATTTTAGGAGCTACTCGGACCCCACATGCAAGGGAATACAGAAAGATTTTCCTTTGAGAGACCAGCACATGACCAAAATCTCTGCTTCTGATTTTTCCTTGCTTCCTCCTTTAATCACACAGGGTTCCTGGCTGCCAATTTCATGATCTTCAGTGTAGCAACTGACAGGATATTCCCTGGAGTAATTTCATAATTTCTGGGTCATGTTTTTTCCCAGCTAATCAAGTTCTCCAATGGTAGATTCTGCAGTTGTTAATTTACCAGGAGACCATACAGCAGGAACGATAGCAAACATACTTCAAGGCATCGGATAATCAAGATTGAGTTTGGCCAGCTAAAATCCTGGAGTGCGAACTTGGATATCTGCTGGGCCAGGAATCAAGCCTTAATTTCTGGGCCATGGAGAAATTCAGAATCCTAGAAGAGAGGGCACATTGGTCCAAGCAGAGAAGGGTCACTTGGTGCAAGGAGAGTTACCTTATGACCATGGCTGTTGACAGTGAGTGTGGATGAGTATCAGGCCTGTCTGTAGTGACTATAATATGCAGACCCACCATGGAGAAAGCAGTTGCTCCTAGAAAATCAAAGCTGCTGATTGCAAGATGAAAGAGACCGAGATCAGGAAGTTGAAGTCTTTGTTGTCAATTTGTGTTCCTACAGGTGCAGTTTGCACCCCGTCATGCGTAATCCCCCCCAGCGATCCTGTGACGCTGCCGGAGAACATCACTGCTGACACTCTGGAGTACTGGATGGAGCCTGTCAGAGTCCAGGTGAGAAAAGGGATGTTCTGATGTGTCCAAGACATGAGGTTGCTAAGTGGCCCTCAACTGACAGGATGCTCCCTGCGGGCACTTAGAGGTTTTCAAAGCAACCTTGAAGCAAACAACCATGTGGATCATTCACAGAGATAAGGATAAAGTGCCAAGTAGAAACAGGAACAAAGCTTGAGAAGAAAGTGGTCCGTCTAAAGGAAGGTTAAAGGATGAGAATCTACGAGAAAGAGATAGAAAAGGCTAAGCAAGCGTTAAGTGGGACGATCTTGTAAGCTCATCTGTTCTTCTTAGGATGGGAGGATAGGGATGTTAGAAACCTGGGAGTTTGGATGCTTCATGTATGGGACTGCTTTAGCATGACAGTGGTATTCCTATAGAATCACCAAAATATGCACTCCAGACGCATACGTTCCACTCCCAACTCCCCTTTTTGTTCTCAACTCCCCTTTTTTATCACTGGCTAGTTGGGCTTTATTGTTGGCAGAGATTTGAGTTAAACCAGAAGATCAGGGAAAACATTCTCTAAGTGTGATTTGGGATGAGAGGTGGAGAATAGCACAGCCCTATCATTTCTATTAGTCCTTTATTCAATAAAAGATTTTTAAGCCTCACTCTGTGCCATGGAACTGTGCTAGGTGCTAGGAGAAGAAGATGAAACATGGTAGTCTGTCTGTTTAGAGGACTTACAATCTGGCCTTGGAATCAGATGCTTATGATTGTGCCACATGGGGAATGGTTCCTTTGTGGACTTGCTATGGGAACACCAAGAGGAAGCAACCGACTCTTCTGCCCCAGAGCCAGGTGGAGTTGTGGAAGGATAAACTGCAGGAGGTTTCCCTCTGAGTCTTTAACATGATCCAGAGGAAATTTCTAGAGGGTAAAGAATAGTGAGAAGTTCCCTGTGGCTGAAACAAGGTATGTGTGATCGTGTCGGAGAGGGGAGATGGAGGGAAAGGATGAGATGAGGGAGAGATAGGCCGGCAAGGTCCTGCAGGGCTTCTGAGAACTTCTCCAGAGGAGAGGGAGCAAGCCACACGCCTGAGGGCAGTGTGCAGGCTGCTCGGGAGTGGAAAGGAAGGCCAGAGAAGCCCCTCGGCGGCTCCCCTCCCTGGCCTTCTAGACCTTGTCCACTCCCCACGTGTGCTTAGGTGTGGCTGAGCTGTGGTGGTTAGAGGCGTGGTGCCCTGGATAGAGCCACTCCTCACGTTCTGTGGTGCACAGGGGGTCTTGGCTCTCTCTTCTGGTCCACGAACCCTGTTTCCTATGACGAAGACTTCTCTGTTAACAGCCAGATGGGGAGAGGCTTGGACAGATGAGAGCTTTTCTTCCTTTGGGGATACAAACTGCTGCAGAAATCATTCCACTACTCTTTTACTGTCTACCCCACAAGACACAGATAGGAGCCATCCAAGGGTGGGCACAGGGTTAGTGTGGCCTGAATTCAAGTGTCCCAGAAAGTGCGGCTCCTTTACCTCTGCTTTGCAACTGAACATGCAGAAGAAGATGATTCATTTGTCTTCCTGAAAACAACAGAAATGCCAAGTATAGAGACTGCCATTTCTAAACTGTAAAACAATTTTCTCTATTTTACGAAAGCCTGCCTTGTCCACCTATCCTATAAGTGAGTTATTATCATAATTATTATTATTCTTTACTGTGATCCCATAGTATTTTGTTTGTGTTTGTATTCCTAGAGCTTTTTTTCAGTGCCTGGCACTATATAAGTGTCTTGTCAACATTGGTGGAATGAGCAAAGAAATTGTTGTGGTACCATTGTTTTTTCTACTTCAGAAGTAAATGTGTATTTTCTCTTCCAACTGAGTGCAGCTTCTTACTCACCAGCTTCTTACTCCTGTGTAATTATATCCTTGTCTAGTTTCCTACCCCAGGAAGAATATGTAGCATATTTATTTCTCTTCCAGCCAGTACATGAAACATTTTCATTTGTATTATTGCATTGGTGATGACTCTTGTCTACACTGTCAACTCTTGGTTTGACATTCATTGTCCATAGCATCAGAGAAACACTATAAGCCTTGAAATGAAAAATGTATTTGTTAAAAAATGAGTTTCTCAGGACTGGGTTGTGGTTCAGCAGTACAGTACTCACCTAGCATGGGTGTGGCACTAGGTACCATCCTTAGCACCACATAAAAATAAAATAAAATTATTGTGTCTAATTACAACTAAAACAAAATATGGTTTAAAAAACGAGTTTCTCTTTACAATCTCTGTTTTCTACGAACTGCATAGCCTCAGGCAGCTTGCTTTCCTGTTCTCAACATCCTTTCCTCAGTTGTAATTGGAGACACCTATTTCCTTGGGTTAGCATGAGTCAGGGAGAAGCGTATGGGTGGAATTTAATTGCTTAGTGTGTAACCGTCCTTCTGGATGGGTTTCCCTTCTTACCTGAGGCAGGTTGCTCCCCTCACTTATGCCGACCTCTTCTCACCTGTGATGATACTGCCCTGCTCTGTATGGTTTAGGGATACCCCTAAACCACATGGCTGGTCACAGTTTGCAATTTTGTGAGGGGCACAATTACTTCAGTGGGAACTCTTTAGATGCATGTCGTATTTCTGTGTGAAAACAAAGTGAAGTAAATGAGCTGTTTCCAACATTGTCAGGGGAAAAGTGAGGTAACTCAAAATCAACCTTTTCCATACCCTGTAAGAGTCCTGAAAACAACCAGAAGTTATAATTTCAAAGGCTTAAAATGTAATTAACATTTTATGTGTTCCTGAACCCCAAATAAATATCCCTTATGCCAAAATAAAATCAAATAATTAAAATTAGCAGTTAACAGAAATTGTCAGTGTGCTTACTGACACCTGTGCTTGCTCAGCTTTTGTGTAGATAACACAGTGAGGAGTCTTGCTCAAAGCTTGCAGGGATGCTCTGCCTTTAGGAAGTTGAAACTATCATTTAAAAAAATAAGGAAATGAAGTTAATAGAAGCAGTAAAAATGATGACAGTTGAAACTATCATTTAAAAAAATAAGGAAATGAAGTTAATAGAAGCAGTAAAAATGATGACAACACCATTGCCCTTATGTACCTCAGGTCTTCTAGGACCAGACTCTGAACAACTATGAATGATCTCATGGTCTCCTTTTGTGGCACTTAGTGGCACATGAGGGATGTTCAGGCTAACCCTGTATTCATAAACAGGAAGAAATGTTTCCTAAACCAAAGCAATTGTGTTAGCTTGAGTAAAATTTACTCAAACTGAGTAAAATCCTTGCAACTCAAATAGACTCATGTTGGAAATCACTCCATATTGTACTCAAAACTTACATTTTTGTGTCCTTAAGAATCGTTTGGGCAGTGTGTAAGAGTAATATAGCTTCCACCCTCCAGGAAGACTGGGACTGCCTTGGAATAGGGATCTTTAACAAGCATCCCAGGTAATTCCTCTGTAACACTTGGAGGAAACCTACTGTCACAAAATGAGATACTGGCAAAGTGAACAGCTTAAGGTGCAAGCACACCTATGTGGTGCGTGGTTCCTTTGTTTAGCAAGTGATCTTACCTATGTCACAAGCAAGTGATGCTTACCATCTGCCATATTTCAAATACTTCATATCTGGCAAGAGTACAGAGCATGGATTAAATCGCATCATTATCTTTATTCTACTTCCAATGACTTCATTCTTCGTAATAAAAAAAAAATTATCCCTCACATTTGGTTAACACTTTATTGTCTTCAAAGTTGTGTCTGTGTGGATGTCTGGATGTGTGTGTATGATTTCATTTGAATCTCATCACAAACCATTATCTAGGACAGGAGATTTTATTATCTTTATTTTATGTAAACATTAGGCAGATCCTTGAATGATGTGTCCAAGATTTGAGAGCTAGCAAGAAATGGAGAAAGAAATGTCATGAGCTTTTCTCACTCCTAGTTCAGTGTGATATCCCAATGGTGCCTGAATCCTAGAATTATATATATATATATATATATATAAAATTAAAGGAAGTATTTCTGAGAGCTTAAGTATTATGGAGTTTCAATGAAAAATAGCTCAAACTAGAAAATGCCATAAAAGAATAAAGTCCTTCTGGATTCAAATACAATATGACCTACTCTTTAAAGCCTCATATACTCAACCCAAGGGTGAAAGAAATATTATTTATCTTGCAGTATTACTATAAAACTTTAAAATAACACATGAAATATCTTGGGAAGATTTTAGCACACATTAAGTTAGAAAGATGTTTGGTTCATTTAGTACAAATTTTATCCATGGACATATCCTCCATCTCTGTAAAGATATCACCACCTAACTGTATGAGAAAGAAAAATATTCTATTGTTTGTTTCTGTGTGTGTGTGTGTCTGTGTGTGTGTGTGTGGACAATGCCTAGATCATTTCTCTTTATTCAGTCCCTTTGACAACTGAGCTTGCAAGAAAGAGAATTAATCCATTATTCAGCATTTCCAGTAGGATTGCCTGGGACTAGAGAAGCAATTTCTAAAAGGTTTTGTTGTGAGACTGAGAGGGATAAAAATATGCTGTTACTTTTAAGTGTTTCAAGGGTGTGCTGGCTGTGAGAGACAACAGTCAAGTTGGAAGTTCCCAAATGATTTCTGGGCCTTTGTTATTGTAACGTTGTCTTCTTCCTTCTCCTGTTAAACACCAGGATCTAGACCTTTCTGTGACATCTGCTTCCCTGCTCTGCTTAGCTGCTGGGCTCCTGATAGTCTAGAATTGAAGGTGTGGGAGAAGTGGGATTGAGAGTACTTCATCATTATCTTATCCCTATTTTTTCATTCTTGATTTTTTTTCTTCTGTTTGTTATTCTAATCCCCGCTAAGCTGTGAGGTTCTTCAGGGCAGCATACATCTCATCCTGCATCCCCAGGTCTCCTTGATGTCTGACCATACCCCATGCTGCTCAGAGCATTTGAAGCCAAAAAGCTCAGAGAAGAGAATGGCTCTTGCTGAGCCATTTCTCAAAGAAAACCTTTTGGTCATTCCAAAGACCTGTGTAAGGTTGGACTTTTATGACTCTCCTTACCCACTGTGTCAAGAGAGTGTTTTATTATATCTTGTGTCTAAAACAGGAAAATTAATATTTCAACTTTCAAAATAGTAGTCTTTCAGGAAACTGATTTTATGGGGAGATTTTTTTTAACATAATGTGGCAATTGTTTGCATGTAAGTGAGTTTTCTTAAACTATATTTTAAAGTGTTTCCTTCAGAAGTTCAAAGTCATCTATCATAACATCTTACTTTCTCCGTTATTTTGCTTTATAATTCCTTTCTCACAGACTTAAAATGCTTTTCTTTTCTTTTTTAGTACTATGGTAAGTATAAATTAGTGAGGTCCAAATTAATGAGGTTTCTGGTGGTGGCACAGGACCACCCCCCCTGGTTGCTCAGTCATATCAGATCTCACAATTTCTGACTGTGTGTTCCCAAATTTGTCCCCAAGAATCAGTAGTCCTTTAACTGAAAAACAGAATGGTTTAATGAGAAGAGAGAACAAGCAGTAGCTTCCCACAAAGTGCTCTCACACTCCCTCTGGCTCTGAAGGCTCAGCCCTGACCCCAGAATGTCCTGTTGGTGGTACAACCCTGTGTTACAGCTGCAGTGACACTGCTTCAAATTGGTGTAGACTCAGGCATGGTGACATTCCATGTCTCTTTCTTCATCTATTCTGAGCGTGGATTTGTTCCCTGTAGGCACTGAGGGTCTCATTACGAGGGAAGAGAGAAAGAGAGTCTTGGGGTCGGGGGAGAGGAACCAAAGCAAATTGCTTTTGTCCAAATAAACATACAAAACAATGCTGTTTTATTTAAGGAGCCATACATATACAGCAAGGAGGACATTGTCACAAACCTGGGCGGTGGCAGAACTTTGTGACCTGATGTGATCAGCAGCCCCTTCTGCCAAGCAATTATCGCCAATTAAAAAAATAATAATAACTGGGTTTTTTCTGTTGGCTACTAGCAGTTTCTAACCCTTTAATAAGAAATCAACCAGGCAACAGCCTAACATAGCCTAAGGCCATCCGAATGACCCTCTGCTAAGTAGAAATGATTTTTTGTATTTCAAAGCAGATTTCACTGGAACTCTATATAGCAGTGGTTGAGACTTTTGTTATTTAAAATATGGGTGTTTGACATTTGTTTGCTGTCTTCACTTAGTGGTGACTTGGCAAAACACATTAACTTGTCCCTTGAAAGGCTGTGGCAACTTGAGGCCTTCTTTTCTGCTACCTTCACTAGTGGTCATTTCTACTTAGCATAGCAGTTGTTTATATGCAGATGTTTCTGTTTGAGTGACTCCATTTGCAGGAAAATAGCATTTTCTTCAGTAGTTTGAACACCCCTGTTGTGTTTACTTTGTATATCTGCTTTAATAATCCTTTTTTATTGAATTGATAACTTAAGTCAAATCACCTTCTAATAATATAGAGTTTTGGACATCAAACTTTTTGAATATTTATTCTATTTATTTCCCTCTTTAAGGAATCTGTGAAAGAAGAATTTTAGTTTGCAGTAGCAATGACTCCAGAAAAATATTATAGATTACCAATCTCATAACTGACCATAAGTATATATTCATATTTTTGCATATTAATATATATGAATGTCTCCAATCAGATTATTGAACAGCATTCTGGATGTATAATTTCACCCCCAGTTGCTGGAAGTACTATGTAAAGCTTCTCCCTCACCTTGTACTGTTTTTCTTCCAATCATACTGAATTCTTATTGCATTGAAGTAAAACGTGAGAATGAGTGTCTGCCGGTGGGCAAGTTGGTAGGAGGCTCCAGAGAGAAACTGTATTTCTCTCTAAAACTTATTATGGAACTTTCTCTTTTCCTGCAGTGTGTCCTTTGAAATTTTAAAATATAAATATTGAAAGGAAAAGACTCATTGAAAATGGAATTAGACTTAACAAAGAACAGATGACCGTTAGCTCACCTGCGTCACTGGTGTTTCAGTATGAAAGTGTTCATGTTCCCACCGCTTCAAGCATTTTGAGTTCTGGTGACTTCACATTAGCTTATTTACCCATTTTGTGTGGACATGATTCTGTCTCCTAGAAGGAAGAGTTACATAGTGCTAACAAGAGTTGCAGAGAATGCTGTTTGGCCTCTGGTCCTGGCTTTACACACATACACAGCACAATCAAGGAATTCTAAGATCCATTGTGCTAGTCTATTTTCTGATGCTATTCCAAAATACCTGAGGCTGGGTACTTTACAAAGTGAGGAGGATTTTTGGCTTATGATTTGGGTGGTCAGGGAGGGCTTCCTGGCTGCATCACAAATAGCAGTTGGCATCATAGCAGGAGAATGCTGGAGAAGGAGAGAAAATGGTGAGAGATTCAAGGGCCAGTCTTGCTCTTTTTATAATTCATTCTGCTGGGAACTAAGTAGAGAAGTGGAGTCCCAGAGAACTGTGTTCATCCCTCATGAATGGACCCCCATCAGGCTCCACCTCCTAAAGAACCTTTCACTCCACACCCCGAAGCCTCCAGCACCTGAGCTGTGGGCACACCTCCAAGCCAACCGGGACCATCACATGCACTGTAGTTAAAGACTTCTATTAGTCAGTGTTTGAAAACCCGTGGTGCTGCTTCACCAACACAACTAAGTTACCTTATCATTTTTTATAATGTTTAAAATTTCAAAACAAATGCAATCAGTAGTGTGCCTAAGGACAAACTGAGCTCATTATAATATTGAAGGTGATTTTTGAACCACACTCTGGACATTTGGAGAGGGAGGAAGAGATCATCTCCATCGAGAATTTCTGCCTTACTCTATCCAGCAGGCTTTAACAGGAAGGGCCGGCAGCCCGGGTCCTCTCTAGGGGCATAGTCAGGCTCTTGCTACTTAAGGGATGGAGTTGGACTGGTGGGCTAGCTCAGGATCCCCTCCCTCATAGACCAGGAGTCTCTGTTCACGTTACTGTTTTTTCCTCCTTCCTCTTTAGAGCATCGTGTGTACTGGCCGCCGTCAATGGCACCCAGACCCCTTGCTGGTCCACTGCATCCAGTCCTGTGAGGTAAGTCAGCCTCTTCTTCCCCAAACCCAGCTGAAGAGCTGGGGTCTGTAGGATTCACTGAGTCCCTCTAGCTCAGGATCCTGTCCCCCACCCAACTCCTCTGTCCTAATTTTTGTTTTAGCCAAATCTTGGAGTTCCATTTTAAATGGCTTAATAAAAACAAGTTAAAAGGAAGGTCATAATTACTGATATGTTCGGGATTCTAACTAGATCGTGTTGCAGCTTAATTAGATCAGGATTTTGCAGACAAAGGGCCCACAGACAGTTTTGTTGAGCCAGCACAGTGTCTAAAACCAATTTTGTTTTGGTTGCCAAAGTTTAAAAATTGAGATTTTTACATAAAATTCTTATGTACATATGTAACATCTCTCACTCTCTCTCCCTCTCTCTCTCTCTCTCTCTCTCTCTCTCACACACACACACACACACACACACACACTAAATAAATAAATAAATAAATAAATAACATTCTTTGTGCAAGATTTTTCTCATATAGAACAAGATCATCCAGCAATCATGGCAGCAACTAGCTGGATCTGCATAGCATCCACTACCCCAGAGTGCAGTCCTTCCCCACCCCCACCACCATGTCCACTCACCGGGGGCTTCACTCAACACTTCATTGCCTTCATCTCAGGGGACCCAGGGTTGTGGCCTCTTGGGTGGACCTGTAACCCACTGTTGAGTTGTCCACACTGGATCATTGCTCCCTTCGGGAGCCCCGTCTATGTCTTCACACAGTGGACTCCTACAGTGGTGCGCTTCAGGGGCTGTGAATTCCTCAGCTAGGTTAACTGCAGCTAACCTAACAATGAAGGGTCAAGAATGGGGCAGAGCCTTGCAGAGGAGGGTGACAGAGAAGGGAGACCCTCCCACTTAAGCACTCCTACCCTAGGAGAAATACAAATATTATATTCTCAGTCACTACAGGTTTTGTCATTCAGTCCTCTCTCTGGAAGAAAATAAGTCACTTAGTAGCCATGCCATTCCTGGTGTGCTAGAGAAAGCCGTTTAGCTGCCCTCTATTTCCAACATCCTCCCCGAACCCACCCAGGCCACGTGCACATTAATCCCTCTGTTCTTCTTTATCTGTGTCCCTTGATCTAATTCTGGGAAACTGCAATGCACATGAGGCCAGAGAGGGGAAAGGGTGGGGTTTTAGAGAAAAGAGAAAACTGGGTGGGGAAATGATACCCATAAAACAGCGTTCTGAGAAGCATGGGGAAATGCTAGCGTGGAGTGCGCTTTGTTACAGCGCAGGCCAACAAAACAGCTCATCCTGGGCCATCATTAGGAAAACACATGGCAGAGGGGTGGGGAGGCAGAGAGGGGAGTGAATCATCCACTGGGCAAGGGGAAGGGGCAGAGGAGGCCAGGGAAGGAGGAGATAAACAGACAGAGGCCTTGTGGAGCTGGGAAGAGATCAAAGGGAGCCTGAGAATTCCCTTTTGCTGGTTCCACAGGGGATCAGGGGATTGCAAGTGGGAGCACGGATGGCAGGCCTGGAGCTGGCCCTGGTGGTTCCCAGGGTACAGTACAATGCTTTCCCTGCTGTCCTGCCCTCCCTGCACCCAGCACACCCTCTTGATCCACAGCCAGGGCTTCCTGGGCTGCTGCAGTCCCTCTGTCAGATGTGACAAGGAACAGACCTCCCTTCCTCTGTCATCTCCCTGTCCCACTTCCATCACACACAGCTGATCCTTGACCTTCTGAAAGCTGCTAGTTTCTACAAGGACTGGCCCCTTCAGCACCTCCTGGGAACTTATTAGAAATGCACGTTCCAGGCCTGCCCAGCCCTGCTGAAGCAGACACTGTGTGCAGGGGGCCCAGCAGTCTGGTTTACCAGGCAAGCCCTCCCTCCAGGGGATTTGGAACCACCACCCTGACCACTGAAGTTTCCCAGCTTGTATATTCCTATTCTGGAGCTTTCTTTGTCCAGGAATAATTCCAACCAACATTATTTACATTCTGATTATCCTACACTGTTCTGATTATTTCACAGTATCATTCCCAGATTCTCTGGGTAGGGCGAGATTTTTTTAAAAACTAGTTATTGTATTCTGTTCCTTCAAGCAAAGGGTGAGAACAAGAAAGCCCACAAAGAGGGAGGAAGGAAGACAGAAAGAAAAGGAAAATCTAAACTCAAAGGAAAGGGAAGGGAACCAGACAGGGTGGGGGAAGGAGACACAACTCTGCGAAAATTAGCAGGAAGACATGCAGAGAGAGAGAGAGAGTGGGCATGGAAAAGAAGGGAGAGAGCCGAGGCTATTGTCCTTTAGGGTCAACCTAGCTGATAACTCATTCTTTACTAGAAAAAGTCAGTTTAATATGTAAGGGTCAAAGACAGTCGGAGGAAAAATGGACCCAGAAACAGGAGAAAGCACAGAGGGCCTGGGGGTGGGAGGAGTGTCTAAAAATGCAGGGTGGAAATCTGTGCTCAAGTGGGACACTTTGCTACCCAGTGTCTAGAGGGGATTCCTGTTTTGCTTTCTTGTCCTGAATATAATTCTAAGATGTCCCTTTAGCCACTCAGCCTTGAAAAAGAAGAGTGCTTTCTTTGTTATTTTTTTCCCAACAAGCCCAGGGCAATAAGCCTTCTCCCTGTCCCAGCCCACAGCTCGCCTGGTGCCTCTCCTGCGCCTTGTGTCATCTCTCTCTTGCCGCAGGGCTGTCTTCAATTCTCCACTATTCTTTGCTTCTTGCATTCTTTAAGAGGCACCTTCAGGGTGTCCTCTAAAAAAGTCTTGCTGGAATAATTTTGTCTCCATATTGTCACTGTGTCCCCACTGTTCCAGCAAGAACACGTGTGTACCATGCATCTGCAACCCAAACTTGTTCATACATTAAATTCGATTGTTTTAGTTGCTTCTCACATTTGACCTTCTTGACATGAAGACTTGCATTTTCTGCTTCATGTTTAAGTTAAAAATGGACAAGGGATATCAACTTGGTCAGAGGAAAGGCTAAACAAATCTAGATTCCAATCCTGGGTCTGTGAGCTTCAGTGTTGTGTCTCTCCTGGGAAGTGGGTGAAGGAAGCTGCTCAGGAAGTCCCTGGGAGGGATTGAGGTGATAGTGAACGTGGAACAGTGTCACGCCTGGCTGTAACACACTCTTAGGCCTGGAGTCTTCTCGCGAGTTACTGGCTGCTGTGGGAATGTTCCCTGAATAAGTGAAGCAGAGAGCAGGGCCACTGTTGCTGATGTGGCTTTAATATGATCAGGTGCATATTCAGAGGATGGGGAAAGGGAAAGAAAAGAAAGAAGGGAAATGGGACATTCCCATGGAGACCTGTTGGGATCCGTAACTCACAAATCACTTGGAGACAGTTTGCTGTCCTGCCTGGTGGGCTGCCAGGCCTGTTGGTGACCAGAGCATGATCTGCATAGCTCTACTCATTCCTGCTCTTGCCCTCCTACTTGAGGTGGTCACATTCTCTGGGCTGTGGCAGTAGGTTCCTCATTCTTCTGCCTGCCCCAGATCTGTGCCAAGCAGCTGCCTGCAGAGTGTCTTTTCCTATCACTGGGCTCTTAAGATTGTGTCTCTCTTTCATGAAAAGAAAAAAAAAACAAGAAAGAAAGAAAAATTATCAGAAACTCCTTTTCTCTCTTGTCCCCCTTGATTTCATATTTCTGTCAATAGTCAGTTTGTAGGTAGCACGGGACCTCTGTATTTTCAAATCCTATGTGCATTCTTGACTCCAGACAGGAAAAGCCTTTGACCATACAATAGTGACAAGTGAGTGGCTTCACCCTCTGGGTCCTCCTGGTGTGGTATGCATGATGGTTCCACTACTGGATGATACGGGGCAAGTTACTTCACCTCCTGTGCCTAACTACTCTCCATGTTTTTATAGGGTTTGTAAAACTGTTTAATAGTAATGCCCACTTCATACAGCTTTTGTGAGGATAAATGAGGTATCAGAGGCAGTAAACTCAGCCTAAGGTCCTGTGCACAAAAATGCAGAATGAATATTATCTCCCTCTATTAGCTTTGGTGTTGCCCATGTTATTTCATGCCCTGTATCTTTGTACATATTGAGTTGTATTCCTGACCCACCCCATGTTTCTCTAAGCCAGTAATTCACAATCAAGGGCAGTTCTGTCCCCCTTCCCCTCACCAGGAGGCATTTGGAATATCTGAAGATATTTTTAGTTGTCATGCCTAGGAGAGTAGCAGGAGTTAGTGACCTCTTGGGGGGGTAGGATATGCTGCTGAACACCCTGTGGGGCACAGGACAGCCCCACAAGGCAGAACTCTCCTGCCCCAGATGTCAGAGGTACCATTGTTATGATCCCTTGATGCATTTTCCTGACCTCTCTCTTCTGGGACTCTTTACTGTCTAGCACCCACCCAGTACTTGCCCCACCACACCTGAGCTATGTCGATGTGCTCTGCTCTTTATTTTACTGTTTATCACCCTGGGGGAAGCATTGGTTTTGGTGGGTCTGCCTCACATACCATGGCTACCTACCTGCAAGTTGGAGTCAGTGTGTGAAGTAGCTAAAGTACAACGTTGTCAGAATCAGCCAAGGTTCCAGAAACATTCATTGATTGAAAATACAATTTCATTTACAAATTGCTTATAAAATTGTATATACAAATATTCTATGATAACTGTTTAGAAAAATAGTGCTTATTCCATCCAATGTTTGTCCATCAACATATACTCTATTCCCAGAGTAAAGAGAGAAAGAGGGAATACTGTAACATCAGATAGAAAAGTATTTTAAAATAATGTTATTCTCTCTGTGTGTCTCCTTCCTTCTTTCCTTCCTTTCCTCCCTCCCTTTCTTTCCGCCTTTCTCTTTCCACCATTCCTCCCTTTACTTTCCTTTCATAAAGCTGCATTTATTAATTGTGACACAATCCCAGGCTTCCCTGGAGCATCTCTAGGGAATGCACCTGGGATGGAGCCACATGCCACCTCCTTTGCTGACCACTGATGCCTCTCCTTCCCTCAGCTGGTGGAAATCCACCTCCTTCTTGGCTCTGTGTTT